GGCTTCTAGCTTGGTGGGTACGTCCAAGTCGGTTACTTAAAAGTTTACCCTACAGAGCAGGGGAGGTTGTGACCCGACCTTGTCCATATCCTGACTCTCAATGTAAAAGCCCACCAAAACCTATTGGCAAGGACACGTCCCCCGCTAGCTGTGATATGAATGAACAACAAACATAAAAGAAGGAGGGTGAGAGGGAAGATGCTTGCTGGCCCATCTCCCAAAAGGGCACTGAGGTAAGATGAACCATACATCACTCCCAAACACATAACCACTCCCATACACACTTACAACTAATCACAAGCATCCAACCCCACACTTATACATGTGCCGTTGTCCGCTTAGCTGTGCTATCTCTCCAGGGCCTGACCTCCCAGTGGAGGTGTGTCTCTTAGACCAGGCACAGAGTTAGCAAACCATAGTTTCTACCAACTTCCGCATCCCTAGATGTACTGACGAGGCTACTCTACCATCATGTCAAAGAGGTCATACTAAAGTCCAGCAGGACCAAGAAAGATCTACTTGCATAGTACAGTGACATTCAGCTATATGAAAACCTGTCTGCCCCCACTCTGAAAAAAATGGAGAATGTTAAAAAAACAAAAACATCACAGATTGTCGGAGGCAACTTTTTCCATCAAATATTGGCCAAAGTGTCCCCCTCTCTACAGGGGATTATGCTAATATGTGAAGACATAAACCACGTTAGACATCCCAGGTTAGAGCCCATGATATCCCAATCCTCCCAATTCTAAGAGGTATAAATCATCAGGATAGAGAGACTACTAAATTACCCATGACACATAACTTAAGAGATATTTGGAGCATTTTACACCCACAACATTCACCTATTTCTACCATGTCAATAATTCTTCCTCGAGGATTGATGGCTTCTTTTTTTCCCTGGCTCTGATCGAGACTACGTAATAGATTGTTATATAGGCCAGCTTTCCTGGTCAGATCATGCCTACAACTTAAAGACCTATATGACAATAAGCACAAGAGTCCATGAAGATTAAATAAGTCCCCTGCAGAACTTGGAATTTTCTCTAGACTTAGAGACCCAACTTTACCAATACGTCTGAATTCATGCTTCATTGGAGGGCTCTCCTACAACCCTGTGGTTAACACACAAACTCGGTATTATGGGTCTGTTCATTACAAGTGCATTATGGCTGAAAAGGCAATCTCAAACACAATTACTCAGCTGACAGAAAATGCTTCATGATTTGAATGTTCCAAACCTGCTTACTCCTGAAATTCATTAATAAAATTTAATGAGTGTGGGATACAAAGTGAAAAAAACTCAATTAAGACAGTATGCCCAGGGGAAAAGGGCAGGTAAGTTACTTGCGAGACGCTTGAAGGAACAATAAGCAAAACATAAAATCCCATTTATTGTCTCCACCTCAGGGGAGGAAGTGATGATTCCTGAAAAAGTAGAAGATTAATTTGCAAGATAGTATGCATAACTCTACAATGTAAAGGGAGATGGGAAAGCATCCTACAGGGATACACAATACTTAAACTTAGTATATCTCCCCTCTTTGACAGCAGAACAGGAAAATGGTCTGGCTTTTCCAGCAATTGAGGAGAAAGAAGTTGAGTCCATAAGAGCAGTACCAGTGCAGTAAGCCCTGAGGCCCAATTACTTCTCTAACACCTACTATAAGAGGTTCCACCGGATACTTGCCCCACATATTGCGACCGTATTCAACTCTGTTCTTTAAAGTCAACTGTTGCCCTCAGAGCTATTATGCAGTGACATTACATAAGCTCAGCAAGCCCATACTCAGTGCCCATATCATTGTTAAACACAGACATAAAACTCCTGTTAAAACTCTTCACAAACTGGTTGGGGTCCTCATTACCCGATATCATACATATTAAAGGAGGAGCTATCTAAGGCAGACAGACAGATTGTGCACTTCAGCACAAACATAAGGAATGCCTCGTTATTAGTTAGCAGCACAGTTCAACTAATATTCTGGAAGCTCTTCGAACAATGCTAGAAAACCGGGTTGGAGAAGAAGCAGGCACAGCAGTACACAAAGACTTTGAAGTGAATGATAGGGGGTCAATATGGTGAAAGCAATCAGAGATGGGGACTTTATCGCTGTGCGTTGTGCAGCTTGTATTTTACATATGGTTTTGAGAAAATTCAATTCTCACTGATTCAGAGACTTCCGATTGTGCAACCTAAGAAAGAGATTTCGAAAGATTGCCAGCCACTTCCACCTCAGTGTGAAGGCTAGTCGAGAACAAGCAGGTTTGTCACAGTCTTCGGCAAGATGTTATGACGCAGTGGAACTCCACTTTGGAGTTGACGGAACATATTATCAAGCAGCAGAGAGTGATATATTCCATATCATCAGAGAGGAATGGGGAGCTACAGGTCAGATTGTGACAAACCTTAAGCCTTTCAAGGTTGTCACAGGCAGTTTAAGTCAAGCCATAGCATGCTTTGGGCAGGTGATTGCATCATTCATCTTCCTAAAGGATCCTTCAGAGCCGTAAGATTGAACCTGAAGAATGACCGCATCCAGACATGGCAGATTTTTTTAAGAGGGTGAAGGAGGAATTTATATGTTGCATGTGCGAAATGAAGGCCACCATTTTTGAGTCAAATATAATGGCAATATGGCTGCGAGGAATAATACCCTGGCTATGTGGAAATATAAATTAATTAATGAAGTGCATGAGATGCAGAGAAAGAGTGGTATAATCATTGGTAATTGGAGAAACAACAATTCAAACAAGTACTGAAATTCATTATAGCAATGGCAGGGCTTCTGAGCAGCAGAAATCATCCTTAGCTGTGTCAGTGATATTAGTGATGTTAAAGGCAGAGGCAAACAGAGTGGAGTAGCAACCATCTGTGCCCAGGCCTGCACCAGAACCATGGCGAGTAAAACCAATGGAGCCACATAAAACATAGCTTTTAGAAAGCTCTTTGTCTCCTACTACCATGCCTCTTACATACCTGGAACAAAACAACCATTACATACAGACAGCACAAAACACACAATATATATATACAGGCAGCACACACATTACATACAGTCAGCACACAACACACACATAACATGCAGCTGCACACAATACACATTACATACAGCCAGCACACACAACAAACACATTACATGCAGCCAGCACACAGATTTCACCCTGCCAGCATACACGAAACACACATCATATAGCCAGCACGCAAACACTACAAATAGGCAGCACACACCAAACAGACATTACATACAGTCAGGACAAAACACACACATTACATACAGCCAGCACACAGATTACTTCCAGGCAGCACACACACACTTCATATAGGCAGCACACACCAAACACACACAAACATTACATAGAGGCAGCACACACTACACACATTACATACAGCAAGCACACACCCCATGTTCATTACATACAGCCAGCACATACTACACACATTATATACAGTATGCACACACTACACTCATTACATCCATTACAGCCAGCACACACACATCACACCCAGACAATACACATTACACCTAGCAAACCCCACACTATGCGGGAGGGCAAGTCACTAAGCTACACATTTTCACAAATTATACATGTCAAGTTAGAGATTTTTTCAGAGAAAATATTTTGACTAAATTTTTACATTTAATTGAGCAAAAAGTTAGTTTAGTGAATAACTCAATGTCCAGGTTTAAGCAAGGTCCCAAAATGTTACAATTAGTTAGATAAATTATAAATCCGCATGCCTTTTAACTCTGGCTTTTTATGTTGCTAATTTTAATTCTCACATTTTTATAAAAATAGCCACCGGCAAGATAGTTATATTGCTTTTTATAAAGCAGTTTTATACAATGAAGGCATGAAGGATACATCACAATTTTGGGGTCCCTGTTTTCCATCTTGTGTCCCAAATTCTAGGATTATGTGCAAATGCACACTTTATAGTCTAATAGAGAATTGATGGACACTGACTAGAATCTTTAAAAATGTTTCTGGATTTATTCAAAATATATATTTTTAAATCGATTAATCGGGAAAAAAAAATCAACCAACTAATTGATTATTAAAATAATCATTAATTGCAGCCCTAGGACTAATATAAAAGTGACTGCCCCTTTGTCATTTGCCATCTCTGTCTCAAGGCTCACATCCAAATTCTTCTACTTCTCCGAAGAGGTCCGTTCAGCTTCGGGGTGGCGCAGCAGAGCCAGAGCTAGAAAGGTAGCAATAAACAAATTTAATTTGCAATAGTTAAAGCCTTGTGTACACGATTCCTGGTGTATGGATGTATAACAGGAAGGCTGAACTTAATGGACGCAAGTCTCTTTTCAGCTATGTAACTATGTAACATGGTAATCATGTATACATATTTAACTGCATAATGTGCTCGTGTGTGAGTTTATAGAGGCTAACATCAGAATTAATGTTAGGCAGTTCGGAACAGTGTTCCAGGCTGCCTAAGTCATGTTAGTCGGAGGTGTAACCAGCCCCAGATACAAAATTGCAGATATCTTTCTATGTGCAACGTTTCAAGCAGAAGTACTGCATATACTGATTCATACCTCCATGACCACTTCTAAAAGCAGAAGTGGTCATGGTTGTTGTGGTAACCCTTTAAATAATGGCATAAAGATACACATTATAAATGTTAAATTCTTAGTAACATATTTATATATAGTATAGATAACTACAATAATTCAGTTACAAAATTATGCCTAAAGGACTCCATGAGGCTCTTAAATAAATTCCCCAAAATTGTTGGTAGCTAGATTATGTACTGGGTATTTGTAACATAAAATCATTGTACACAAGCATACCACATGAAAAAGGATGCAAATCAGTAAAACATATGCTAGAATATGCAGGCAGGAACAATGGAACAAATTGATTTTCTTCTAATTGGTATTAATTTGATTATTTATTACAGGAGCCATGGCAGACGGGTCCAGAGCAGGCCGCGTGGTCGAAGCGGCGGTCGGCGGGGAGAGAGCTGGGCCTGTGGTGTCGGCCGCGGAGGCCTCTGGCAGGTGGTCTACGCCAGGCGGCATTGCTGGAGCGGGTCAGGGACGGGAGGCTGCACATCTTCGTCTCCCAGGTCAGGCTGCACCCTGTCGGTTGGCAGCTGGCAGGAAAGGTCGGGTGCTGATGCCGGCGCGCTCCGGTGGGGCAGGGAGTGCCGCCAGGTCTGCAACTAACGCTGTAGTCGGGGTGTGGGGTCCACCAACAGGTGGGAGTGGGGTGGCTGTGGTGGGCAGTGTTCAGGGCGGGAATATGGTGACTTTACTTGGGTCGAGGACGTCGGTGGTGGTCAGCGAGCGTGCAGAGTTGACAGGTGAGATCCCTGAGGTAGCCAGGCAGAATGTGCACGTGTCATTCGCTGGGCCTTGTGTTGTCATCTAAAATCAGAAGTGAAGGAAAAGATTTGGCGGGGCGAATTCCAGACATTACTGAATGATGCTGCTTATTATTTGTTAATACTACCACCTAGTGGCGAATATACTTATTGCCCATACTATTTCTTTTATTATATTGCTACTGTTACTGTGCTAAACACAATCTTTGCTGCATTGCCACATACTGTGCTTTTTGTTTAAACCACTAATGCATTTCTTCCCACAATTTTATATATTTTCTGGATATATGATAGATGTCTCATATGACGTACTGTATCTATCCCAGAGTGCACGTTTGTGGAACATCCTGACTCAGCGTTGGAGGATTTGATGTCATAATTTCCTCCATGTGTCATTAGCCATGATGTAGTTTGTACAGGAATGGAGTTGAGCCCTGAAGATGTCCCTTCCAAGGAAACTCTCAGAGGGAGCTTAGTTTCCTGCAATATTGTGTACCAGAGGGAAAGCAACCTTCGGCACTCCAGATGTTGTGAACAGTGGACTACATCTCACATAAAGCTCTTGCAGTGTAAATACTGGCAAAGCATCATGGGAGATGTAGTCCAAAACATCTGGAGTGACGATGGTTGCCTACCCCTGGTCTACCACCAGCATGCTGTGTTGTACTGGCATCAAATGTCAATTTTGCACAGAATTAATATTAGCCAAATAAAATTGTGATACAAGTGATAAAGTGGAGTGCTAAAAAAACATGCACATACAATTTACTTACCCTTAACCCCTTAAGGACCAAACTTCTGGAATAAAAGGGAATCATGACATGTCACACGTCGTGTGTCCTTAAGGGGTTAATGAGGATTTACTTACCCTTAATTGAGGATATAGCAGGGATATACACCATATACAGAAAAAGAAGAAGAGAAACATATATATAGTGTAGATGGTATTTTATATGGATTATAAAATAATAGTGATTGGATCCAATCACATGTGCCAGAGGCTCTACAATCAGCATTACTATGCTTTTAAGGTAGCATACCACCTCCCATCAGGTAGGATTCCAAGTTCAAAAGACATAAAATGAAAGAAAAATTCTAATAGTGTGATATGTATAAAACCCTTGTACTTAACAATAATTAATCTGTTAAACTCACCTTTTTTACTCTTTTTCTGTGCTGGCTAATGATGCCCCGATAACACTACTGGAGGTGGATTCAGCAAAGGAGTTAATCTTTGTATATGGGGCATTTCATAGTGAAACGCTGCACATACAGACTTCAGGCACCATGACCACCTCAAATCAGCGAAGTGGTCATGGTTCTTGGAGCAAACCTTTAAGTGTTTTTCTCTGGTGTTCTTATGAAGCAGGGAGCCAGATTAGTAGACCTGGATGGACAAAGAATTGAAAGCTACAAAACGTCTGCAACTCTCAAATCATAACCGCCAAAATATATGTAAAATTCGTAATCTAACATCTTAATGTAGTTGTTCTGGTGAGCATAGTCAGTCCCTGTAGGCATGTTTAAACTGATCCCTAGTGACACCTCCAGTGGCAGTCACTCAGACGGTTTATGTGAATAAACCTGTCAGTTTTGCTATTTTGGAATTAATTTATTAAAATGCAGTGTTTAGGTGATAACCCTGTGAGTGACTGTTGCTTCATTTTAAAGTAGACACATTATAGCCAAGTGAAAATTATCAGAATTAAAAAAAAAAAATTGTGTCTCGCGTTTCTTTACAAAAAAAATCTAATATTACTTTTAAATATCATAGCACTCTATTAGTCCTACTTAGTATTGTTTTCTTACTTTGGTTTGGGTACAGTGCCCCCTTCAGGATATTGTGAGAAGTCCATTTATATCTTCTTCTAAAATCGAAATGAATGTGATCTAAACATAATTTCCTGTTTAAGAGCAGTTAAAGCAGCACTGTCATATTTGACAATCCAATGTCTCCTCAATTTGATATGTCTGCCTAGAGTGACTAAGGAACCCGGAGAAAAGGTTGAAATAATCACTTGAACCTATTGCTCTATGATGCTCCCATTTTCTTTCTTCTTTATAGCTTCAGCATCTGGCAGCTTAACCTGGCACCATTATTCTGAAGATTAAAATTAATTATACCAGTCATCACCCGAATAACTCTGACAACTCCCGACTCCTCTTTGTAACCTCCTCTTAGAATCAATCAGTGTACTGATTCCTCATCTCATTTTCACTAATCTTTGTACCACTTCTAATCTCTCTAAAGTTCTGTTTCCTCTATCTGACCTTCATTTGTTGACCTTTCATCAGAGTAACCAATTTACAACACCTACAGGGTTATTTACTAGAGTGAGAAGTCCAGAATAGCTAAACTTAAAGCATATTTTTTATTTCAACTATTTTGACCTTAACGAGACACTCTGTCACCATAACAACTTAAGACAAAGGAAGTTGTTATGGTGCTAGGAGGCACCAATAGGGAGCTACTGATTGATTTAGAGAGTTTCAAGATAAAACGTTGCACATAAAGATTCCTTCTGCTCTGAACACTGTTAAGAGCAGGAGTGATCAAGTTGATTTGGAGTAACCATTTAAAATGAATACAGTCAGTTCTTCGTCAGTTTGGTGAATAAATCCCATGACTTACTGTGTGAGTTGATCCCATTTTTGACAATTCCACTCTAAAAAGAGTGTGTTTAAACAAGCCTACCTTTTTGCCGAATTGTGATTAAGCAGCTGTGCTATGTTTAATTGACATGTCATTCATTCTTACAAAAGAATCTAGATTTTATAACAAGACAGGTGGCTCATATTATGCATTAACTTTCTTTACTGAACTCCAGCGGCAAAGAATATTTCAATAAAGTTTAGTGAAACAATATAAGAAAAAACAGCCAAGTAACTGCAATGGAATATCCAATAGCCAATCAGCATCCGGCGTAGTTTATATATAGAGAATGACCCCCAATCCTCTTCATATTTCTTTGCTGCTCCAGTGTGGATAAGCAACATATATACATACGTTACAGTTATTCTATATTCTATTTAATCTTTAGTTTTGGCATATTTCGATTATAATTTGTATTGGTTTATTTATACCATTATTGTAAACACAAATATTTATTTTCGGATATTTTTCTAATTAGATGTTCTACTTTTCGGAGGTATATACTGTATATTTCAGTTATTGCTAGTGGCCAAAGTTAATTTGCGAGGCTGTTCGCAGCAAAACTCGCAAACGGTATTATTAATATACTCTTATAATTTTCGTACAGTTTGGTCATTATGTATTATGTATCTTTTTACGAACATCCCTTGCGCGGTTCTAAGCTATTCAGTTCATTTCAATTCGCCCTTTTTTCTGTTCATTCGTGGCGTGAATGGGTTTAATTCAATCTGACGTCATTTCCCGGGCTTTTTTCACAGCGAGTTGGTTGACAGCTAGTTATTTGTCGCCCCTTTTTACCCGCCAACGTTACCGGACATTGTTTCTTCTCTGAGAAAGATTACATTGACACAATTTGTATCCTGTTCAGGTTATTTTACCAATTAATACTTATACTATTGTCATTTTATTGCAATATATCAAGCAATATTTACTTTATTGCAGACTATTAGAATTATTTTACTGCAGGCTACTAGAATTTGATTATTATGAATTCTAAAGAGTCTAAGAAAACTTTCACAGTCACCATTTACTGGTGCTAATGCTGAATGTGAAATTCTCACAGAGGACTCGCTACAGAATATTGTTGATTTATCGGTGAACAAATCACTATCACCTGCAATATGTTCTGCTATGTCCTCTATGCAAGAGGCAATTGCAAAATCTGTGGCTCATTCTATCAGGCTTGCTGAAATGTCTTATTTGTCTGTAGGCTGTCCAGTTTTTTTTTTTATCGGTTCATCAAAGTGCTAATGTCAGTAGGCAGTTTTCTTCAGTCACTTCTGTGGAGCATGTATGGAAGCACAAGTGGCAGGTGCATTGGGATGCAGTGTACCCACCGTGCCCCCTTTCAATATTAGCGTTACTACAGCTGATTGAGGAGCACTGAAAAAATTATCACCTGTGCAACAAAAAAACCTTAATGGTCAATTCTCTGTTATAAATTGAAAGTCTGATCCTGGGAAATAAGGGAGGGATTCCTAAGGCTGCAGAAAGCAGATTTGCAGCTTTTATAAGCAATTTTTTTATTACCTTACAAAACAAAACATGTAAAAAAAAAAAAAAAAAGATATAATCATGTGTTTTAGGGGCTACTAAAAAGGAAGAAGAAAATAAAGTCACTTTAACTTTTTTGCTTGCTTTCTGCAGTTACATGATTGCTCCCACAAGCACTAGTCCACACAATTTGTAGAAAATTGGTCTCAATGAGTAGTTGAATCTGGTTGTGACTACAGGTTGCCATGACATGCAGCCATGTGAGTGGAGGAATTCTGGGAATAAAATCCCACGGTTAGTGCTCACTGTGTAATGTGATGTAGCAACTCGCCTCCCTTTATTCTAATAACAGCTGCATACAGGATGTTGAATCTAACTAAGCGATAAACAGTTCACCGTGTGTATTCAGAGGTGCGATAAAACACAACCATGAGATACAACCATAATGCAATAATGAAGAACTAACCATGTTATTTTTCATTCTGTAGACAAACTTTGCATCTCCATTTACCAATACCGCTTCTTAAAGGACCACTATAGGCACCATCTAGGATTAACCCTTTCTGCTGTAAACATAGCAGTTTCAGAGAAACTGCTGTTTACTTTAGGGCTAATCCAGCCTCTAGTGGCTGTCTCATTGACAGCCGCTAGAGGCGCTTCTCACTGTGATTTTCACAGTGAGAAGACGCCAGCGTCCATAGGAAAGCATTGAGAATGCTTTCCTATGGACTGGCTGAATATGCGCGCGGCTCTTGCCGCGCATGCGCATTCAGCTGATGACGGCGAAAAGGAGGAGAGTTCCCCGCACAGAGGGAAAACAGGTAAGATTTAATCCCTTACACCCCCTTCAGCCCGGCAGGAGGGACCTAGAAACGCCATAGTGCCAGGAAAACAAATGTTTTCCTGGCACTATAGTGGTCCTTTAACTTCATTACACAAATAAACCCCCTTGTTACAAAATTGAAAGAATCTGTTAATTTTATGATCTGCAACACCTAGAGTAGGTAATGTATTAATAACCTTCTCTGGATAATCACCACAGTAAACAGTTAATGGAGGAGCGTAGACCTTAAATCAAAAACGTAAGTTCCTCATCTCAATAAAAATCTCAAAATAATTCCGGGACATAAACACTAAAAAGGTTTTGTCTTTAATTTTGCCGAAAGCAGATTTCACTAAATTCCAAATCATGTTACAAATCAGTGGCTAGTGTGACTACCATTTAAGGGACCCAAATAAAATAGCCCAGCTGCATTCTGTCAACAGAATAAATTAAAGCCCTTATTTTCATAAATTAATTTGTGTACGCTAAAATAATTTAAAATTTTAGGTATCCCTGAATAACAGTTTTGTTCTACCTTTATAGGGAGACTGTCACCTCCCAGGATTTCTAATAGTGTTTATTATCTCTATATTTAACAAATATATGTATTTCGGAGGAGAGAAAAATGAAAAGGTAGCAATCTCTTTACCCGCAGTCTTTTGAACACACAGAGAAAGCATACCGCGATGAGTAATGAAACAATATAGGAGTTCTTTTTATTTGCAATGTTTATTAGTAAATATGTTTTAGTTTAAATCTAAAAGAAAAACAGAATATCGTGTGAAAAAAAGTTCACAATGTATAGGTGATTTTCAATATTTTATTAAATGTTATAAATACCAGAGAAGTGACAGTCTCCCTTTATATTCTACTCTTGTCATGTTTCAAAGAAATGTAATGCATTATGAAGTGGTGTGTATTTTGTTTTTTTTAAACAAAATATGAAAGGTTAAAAGGATACTCAGACACTTGCCTTATATGTAACAATTCCTAAAAAGGTTTTAGAATATTCCCTTTAAAACAATTAATACAGGTGATTAGATATCCTGTGTGCATTAATTATCTTTGTACAATTTGTAAAATCCTGACAGAGATCTACTCGTAATTAAATAAAATCACTAATTAGTCTGAGACTCTGCTGATGTTTGCAAAAAAAATAAATCACAATTATGTTGCACACACTAACAAGAGGGAATGCTTTCTGTAGGGTGCTCCAGAAAGGGAGGGCCTATCCCCGGAGACCGCAACAAAAGAAAAAAAATACCCAGGCACACCTGGAGGTTTCTATTTATTAGGAACAAAAAAAAAAAGTGGAGACAATGTTTCGACTCCTTTCTGAGACTTGATAAAAGCTCGGAGGAGCCAAAACATGGTCTCCATTTTTTTTTTTGTTCCTACTATAAATACCTTTTTTCTTTCTACTAAATAGGAAAAATTATCACTGTAGCAAACATTCTTCCTGTTACTTCCATCTCACTGTGCAGGATAGCACGTATTAGAGTGTGTTCTGATATTTTCTTTGTTGCTGCAAAGATTACAAGGGAGACCTAATGCAAATATACAACTTTCAGGGTTTTTCTTTCCATTTTTAATTCCTATTAGCAAATTACATTAGTGAAGTCCAATCCTCCCTGGAGAGACCCTTTAAGTAGAATTCTGGAAGTAGTCTGGTGCACTCAAGACCTTAAAGCAGGGGTCCTCAAACTCCGGGCCCCCCAGATGTTGCTGAACTACAACTCCCATGATTCTTTGAATTACATAGCCAGAGAATCATGGGAGTTTTAGTTCAGCAACATCTGGGGGGCCGGAGTTTGAGGACCCCTGCCTTAAAGGATCACTATAGGGTCAGGAACACAAACATGTATTCCTGGCCCTATAGTGTTAAAACACTATCTAGCACTATCACAGCCCCCCTGTATTCAAGCTTGAAGCTGTAACTCTGCATGCTGTTTGACTCAGAAAAACAAGCAGTCTGCTGATAGCATCAGAAGTGGTAGCCTGATCCAATCACAGTGCTTTCCCATAGGATTGGCTGAAACTGACAAAGAGGCAGATACGGAATTTTTGAATGCATTTTAGGCAGCCATGACCCAGGAAGGATCTGTAACAGCCATCTGAGGAGTGGCCAGTGAAGTTATCACTAGGTTGTAATGTAAACACTGTTTTTTCTCTGAAAAGACAGTGTTTATGGCAAAAAGCCTGACAAGAACAAATTCAATAAGCTGTAGTGGTTCTGGTTACTATAGTGTCCCTTTAATGAATACATGCCTCTGACATACTGTGATAACACTGAACTTGAGGTACAACAGGTTTAAATAGTTAAATCAACAGTCTAAGCAACAAAACCATTTTAACATAATGAAATGGTTTTGGCGGGGAGAGAATAACCCTGCAGTTTCACTTCTCAATCCTCTGCTATTTAAGTTAAAATTACTATTTCTGCAGCCCCAGCTCACATGGATGTGCCTTGAAAAGGCTCTTGGCATTCTTCCTGGGAAAAAAAAAAAATGCTTATTTGGAACTTAACACTTCGCTCATGTTTAGCAGGGTTTACTGGACCTGCTAAGCCAATGCCATTCAGGTCAAAGCAACTAATATCTTCAGGCCAGCAGCACACTTTCGTTTAACCCCTTAAGGACCAAACTTCTGGAATAAAAGGGAATCATGACATGTCACACATGTCATGTGTCCTTAAGGGGTTAAAGAAAAAACATAGCTCTGCTAAACCTTAACATAGATCTGCAAAGAAGCCAATATGTAGACTTAGAACGCTGTAGAGCTCCACAGTTTCTGCATTTTAATTTTGTAAACATGTTTTGCAAGAGATCGGGTAATGTTTTTTGTTTTTCTTTTTTTTTTTTAAAAGGAACACTACATGGTCAGGAATACAAACATGTATTCCTGACCCTATAGTGTTAAAAACACATTTTAAGTGCCCAATTCAACCTTAAAAAGGGTTAAAAACGTATCTTTATTTCGGTGCTGTGAGGGTCAGCTAGCACAGGCTCAGATGCCTTAACTGAGATCGTCACATTACACAATCTCAGCCGATCCAATGCTTTATAAAAGCATTGGGAGGCTAATACGCTGCACCAATCAGCATGCAAAAAGTCGAGACGCTGAAGGTCAGTGCTGCAGTGTCCAGCGCTAACGGAGGAAGCACCTCTAATTTCTGTCTGAGTGACTGCCACTAGAGGTGTTACTAGGCAGCAATGTAAACACTCTTCTCTCTAAAAAAGCAGTGTTTACATTTAAAATCATTTAAGGACATAAAAACACGCGCACACACGAACTACATTAAGCTGTAGTTGTTCTGATGACTATAGTGTCACTTTAAAGTAATATCTATTTTCATTGATGGACTTCTAGATTAATTCCCTAAACTTGAGTAAATGTTCATAATATGTTCTATTATGAATCCTGCATCTGTCGTTTGATTGGTCACTGCCAAGCACAAACATCCCTATTGGTGCTAGGCAAAAAAAAAAAAAAGGACAGCTTAAGTTCTGCTACAGAAAATAAGTTTTGTAGCTATGAAAAGGTAGGATTGTAGGCAGTTGGGAAGGGGATTAAAAATAAAATTGCAGATTTTAACTGAATTGTTCAAATGTATAAAAAAAATGTATGCATAACCATTAATTCCTGTAAAAATCTTTGAAGATGTGCTTGAAAAGTAGTTTTTCCACATTTTAACTACATGAACCACAGCAAACGGAGGGTGAAGTAGGGTAAAATTGCTGCGAGGTTAATTCACCTTTACCACATGTTCATTAGATTAGCATACTTTGATTAAAACAGGGAAACACCATAACCTGTTTAAAAAGGTCCTATATTAAGACATCACAAATTCAGAGTTCACTTGCTTTTTCCAACCAATTTGGTTACAAATGGAGTTTAATGAAACTTAAAAGCAAAAGACTATGTGTTCTGAACTTTTCCGTCTCATTCTCACCAAATAATAAATCTGTTACTGGTTTCTTGTCTAAAATAATTCCCGTGCAAACACAGGCAGATAACTAGCACATCACTGCATTACCAAAATTACAGAAGTGACATACAGGAACCTTGGATTCAACTTTTTTTTGTTGCCATAATACATTTGTTACCATAAGGTTTTTTGAATATGGTTTAACGGCTACAAACCAGAATAATGTGATTTCTGAATGTTCAGATTTTTTTCATCATAAAAAGAACAAAAAACAAAAACAAAAACTCTGCCCCAAAAACTGTTACAAAGATGACTGGAGTCACGCAGTCCTGTTTTCGTCATGTTTTGAAAACTTCCATCTCTGAAGTGAATGGACATGCACATGTGGCTAAAGGGAACGTGAAGGCCATACAAAAAGGAACAGAACCAAGACTGAAGAATAAAACTAAACCCACATATAAACAAAGCCAGAAGGTAGCTGAGATTGGATAAAGGTCAAGGAAATCCGTCATCATCATCTTCTGCCATTTCTTTAGCAAATTCTAAGTCTTGCTGTTCTCTCTCCCGGCGTTCCTATTGAAAACAAAGACATCAACATTGAAATATTTTTAAGAACCATTGTGGATAAAAAATAAAAAAAAAACTTGATTTTAAATGGTGCTAATCCTATAGATACTAAGTGGATAAACCTTATAAACATGAGTCAAAGCCTGCCCAGCTATGTCTCTATTACGCTCGTTGGACTGCAATCCCTGAAAACCTTTTGCCAGTGTGTAGTAAAGAACGTGGGAAGTGCAGTTCAATGATGGCTGGAGGTCCTAAATTTCACAAAAGTACAAAACAGTTTTTAATTTATTTTTTTTTAAATTAAGTAATGTGAACTTAAAACAGATTTTGAAAATCTAGACTAAAATAGTGTAGCTAAAAAAATAAATAAAATTTAAAAAAAAATTTCCCACTCAGCTAAAATCAAAGATTGACATAAGCAAGGAGATACTAGAGAAGGACATACACCTTGGAAAGTAAATCTGTAAAGGGACACAATTGATTTTGTTTGTTTTCAAGTAAACAGCGTTGCACAAATATACAAACTAAAATAAAGCAAATAAAAGTAGGTTTGGAAACTTTGTCAATTTTCTCTGTCCGTCACACTTCTGATCTGAAGGAGTTTAGTCTGTCCTCCTCTCACCTCCCCAATGTCAATCACCCACCCACTAATCCACCTATTTCAGTTTCACCTGAACTAGCCATGCATGAGAAACTTATATGCACAACCTTGACTTTTGCAAAAGTCGAAACAATAATGACAAACTGATTCTCTGCAAACAGAAAAATAAATAAATAAATAAAAAAAAAGCATAACAATTAATTGTATGTGTAGATACACAAACTTATTTATACACACACACTAACTCTGAAAGCAACTCTATAGGAGGATATGTCCAGACTACAATATGCGTTATATCAGCAAGTCTACAATCAGTGACCACCATCATTGTTGTTACTTGACCTCATATAACACTGCAATGCACTCATCTGTCGTGCACACATGGACTTTATATTTACCTCTGCAGACTCCAGATCTTTGTTGTAGGATTTTGGGGGGAACCTCATTGCCTGAGTTAGAGAAAGAAATGATTTGTTAGAAACCCATATAGGAACAGGGAGGAATTTCCACGTACATTTCAACCAATTAATTCCTGTCTTACCTTAACAGACATGTTGTGTATGTCTAGACAGAAAGAGATGCGCTGGTGGAAAGCCAGCTGGGGCTCCCTGGTAGAGTAAATATCAATTGTTTCTTTAGACTGGACGTAGCCTTTCTCGTGGTTAATACTGGCCTCAATTACCCCATCACGGATGGCCTAGAACAAAGGGAGCAGGCAGTTAAAGATTTGCTGAGGGAATGGTGAATTGAATTAAACACTGTACTGTTCTGCTCTGTTGAATTTTGGTGTATATTATATAGAAATTCAATTGAAAGCTGGTTACAAGGAGCCATTTGCAAATTATTATTTTAAGCGGAATGAACACTGAAAGTCCTTCCCCTCCACTGTAGCACTTACTTTAGCCACAATGAACTCTGCGTCTTCAGGGCTATCCAGTTGCAGTTTCTGAGCAATGTCAGGTAACGAAATCCGTGAATAAGACAGGCTAATCATGCGTACACCTACAGTAACAAAAAATAAAATGTAAGCTCAGCAGGACAAAATCAATAATACCACCAAACCCAAAATGGCAGCACAGATGATACTTCATAGATCTTGTGGTTTCACTCCATTAATTAATAAAGTCCAGTTCTGGAAACTTAAATGTGAAATGCTGCCCCTTGTCACCTGTGCCTAAATGAAATCCATGGAGGGGGTGGAGAAGACTATGGATTGCATCAGATTAGATCAATTCAAAGCCAACCGCTATGAACTATTATCTGCATTTCAGAGGGTAACACAACCTCAAAGTACATCCTGGTACATTCCAGAACCCCATTTACCTCCTCCCATGGATGCCCTTATAGATTTATGTGCACACACACAATGTGTAAACATGCAGTTGGTAGTGAATAAGTAAATTTGTGTTGTAATGGTACTATACAGTTATTTCTATGAATGCATATGTCAAATTAAACAACAATTTGGGGACTTCCTTTGGGATGCGTCAGTTTGAAATCATTGTTATAACAGAGTTTTTGCAAATGTTGAAGATGCAACCTAACAGAAGCCCTTCCTGGAAGCTTCAACTATATAAAAACACACATGTAGTATATACTAGCCCCAACACATTTTATTTAACAGGTTTTGGAAGTGCTTGACTTTTATAGTGAGGAGTTGGGAGCAACTTGACACTACCGTGAGTCAGCTTATAAACCATGGCCCTCCCTCTGCAGTATTAATCTGTATATATCAATTTCAAACCAATCTGAAGTCAGTACATCTGCAGAAGAAGGTGTAAATGATCACTTAATACAATTGCAGGTTAATGTCAATAGACTTCACAGTCAATGATTTGGTGTATGTTATATGGAACACATGCTGATAGCTTTTATTGTCAAAACCCATTGCGTACCTGTCTTGATGACATTGTGCCTCAAGCGGATGATAAGGGTGTAGGTTCCATCTGCCTGGAACTTCTCACAAAACTGATCAAGGACCTGGTTGAACTTGGACAAATTACCAGTGCGGACAGCTATGATCAGAAAAAAAAAAAAAGGTACAAGAAGAAATTAGACAGTGGGAAGGAGCTATGGAATGGGAAAACACATATTTTATATATATATCCGATCGCTAAGCCAACGGGCTCCGGGACCCGGGGGAGGGGGACAGGGCTCAGAGGGAAATACCATTGAACATGCAATTTCCTACACCTTAACGTCACATATGTTCCCAGCCCTCGCGGGGCCCGGACGACCAACCATATCTTGGGGAACGCGAGATACACTTAGACACACACTATCACAGCACGAGTCGATGTAAGGGACAACACACGTTTATAGCTTATGGTCTTGTACCGTGTAGACCTACATCATACTCACCTTATGCTAACGCTGATACACACACTAATGACATAGTACAATTACTTACACTGGACAAATGCATAGTCACTGACAACTACATGTAACTCGCAACAAGGGATACCGGCGGATTGCAGGCACTGCCGAGAGGGGTAACGACAATGGCCATAGCCAATGCTAGCTACGAAACAGGATTACTCCCACCACTTTTGCGTGCTAGGATATACCTAGCGACACCAAAGCGGATCTACGAGCCCGAACCCGAC